TGAGACTGCACACAGCCCTGGTAAGACCGCACAGCCATGGTGTGACCCCGTACACAGCCATGGTGAGACCGCACACAGCCATGGTGAGACCGCACACAGCCATGGTAAGACCGCACACAGCCATGGTGAGACTGCACACAAACATGGTGGGACCATACACAGCCCTGGTGAGATGCACAACATTGGTGAGATTGCATGCAGCCTTGGTGAGATCGCTGAGACCCTGCACATCCTCCTGAAATCCCGCACATCCCTTGTAAGACCGCACACATACTTCTGAGACCCCGCACAGCCCTAGCAAAACCCCATACAGTCCTGGTCAGACCACGTACATCCCTTGTCAGACCCCGCACAGCCTCCTGAGACACTGCACAGCACTGGTGAGCAACACAGAATATGTAGCTGGTAGAACTACCAGGGTTGCAGCGTTTGCAGCTGCTACTGGGCCCTGGTGCTCCACCACTGTCCTAAAATCATTAGTCTATATTGTTTTAGAAAAACTGTCACATGACACTAAAAAAAGTGTCTGTGATTGTTATAGGTGAGTACTTGAGGAAAAGTATCGGTTCTCGTACTCTGTCTTGAAAAAAAATGGTATTGGTGTACCCCTAATTGACAGGCATGTAAGAGATATCAGCTGCATATATCGTTCACATACCAAAAGAAGCCATCATAACCTCAGATAGCCCCTGAACGATTGCATTTTTTATTCTGGTTGGTCAATCTCTGAGAAAATACCTTCCGGCCTTGAAAGATAACAGTAACCTTTCTCTGCCAATAATCTGTCATGAAGCTGAAAGGATGAAACCCTAGGCACTCTGCATGCAATAGCAGCCTCCCGTGTATCCCCCTATGCACACCTTAATGCAATACAATCCAAATCCCTGTGTACTTCTTGTAGCTCTGGTTTACAGTAAATGTCAGCTCTGGTTCTGTGTAAACAAATGTTCTATTTAACTGCCAGAGTTGTATATATGGTACTAAACTTTTTATTCATCCTTTTAATTATCACATTGTGGGAAAAAAGGCCCCCGTAAATGTAGTGAAGCTGAAGCCAAAACATTTTTTGACATTGACAGTGGAAAGGGATTAGATCACCTGTCAGGATTTTATTGACCCTCTCTATTTATCCTGGTATTCCATATCAGTGAAAGTGTAACAAAATCCCAAATTTTGGGTTGTCATCAGAATATGAATAGATGGGAAACTTTCCAATGGGCACACTAGTTCTCGTGACCCTGCTCACCACCAGGGATTTCCTTCTCTTTGCAAATAATCAGTTCTTGTTGTGGCTATAGGCCATGCTGCATGCACAATAACACAAGTACTTTACGTGCCATTGCACACATCTTTAATGCTGGATCTTTCTGTCAGCATCTGGCATTAGGATCCAGCATTGATACAGGTATGTAACTAGGCCCGTGTGCATGAGCCCTTATATATTATCAGTAACCTGACCATTTGCAAAGAAATATGTTGGTTTATTTGCTGTTAAAAAAAGTGTGGGGTTCTTTAAGGCTGAAGTCCAGTAAAGTGACATGATTTATACACGGAGCTCATTTCCCCCTTAAAGGGTTCAGCTTGCCAGTGTAACTGTAAGCATACCGATTGATAAAGGCACTTGGAAGAAATGCTAAATTCCTAAACAGAGTCAGAGGCTAAATGAGGTCAGAGCGATTCTGTTTTGGAAATTACAGCACTCTGTTTTCACGTCAGCCTTTTATACCCCACCAAACAGTCTGTTTTAATGTTCCGGTTTACACGCTAGCATTTCTTTCCATAATACCGGCTACTCCTTTGGAAAGCAGGGTCTGTTTTACAATGCCAGCAGCGGGCACAAGGGCATAAGTGTTTTAGTCCCAGTGGACCCCGGCCAAACAGAATTCTTTGAGGGTCATCGGAGCTCTTTTGGATTCCACGGGGGAGTTTGTTATTGCACCCTTTTTCTTTTTCTTAGCTGAAAATTGCTGACAGTCATGAAATCCCACTTAAAAAAAGGACTTTTCTGCAGCCAAGGTTATGGAAAACATTAAGGCAGGCATATTCCCATAGCAAGATTTTAATACAGAGCATTGTATATGACTATACTAACTCTGCTTATTGATTTCAATCTTTTGGCAAAGGGATCTTACTCTGATTTCTTGTTCTCAATAAAAATACATCTATTGCTTAAACTTCCCCTGGTATCTATTACTAGTGTTTTAAATGCGGCTCGCTATCCTTTGGCAGAACCATTTCCTTTTTCATTACTGTAAAAGAAAAGGCTTTCCTGTTTTGCAGTCCTGTTAAACTCTATATTGTGTTTTTTGCAAATCCTTAAGAAGCATATACATCGACCCCATGACACAAGCCCTGAACATCGAGAGTTTCTGTAAAGGAACATTTTTAATTAATACTCAAAATTTCTAGCTTGTGAATAGCAATATTTAGAAAGAACCCACAGTTTTAGGATTATAAATAGGGTGGATCCCTTATACCATAAGTGGGTCCTCTGTGCATAGTAGGACTGGGGAGGGGGGCAGTGGTGAATTTGTCTCCAGGCCAGTACTAATAATCTAAGTAAGGCTGATGTACTTGAGTGGAGATACATATCCATGCAGACATTAGGAATGAGCAGATCCAAACCCTATTGAAATCAATAGTGGATGGATCTTGATATCTAATTTGTTCTGTTTGTGATGCTAATATACAAACATACATCAGGGAGAGAGCCTTTTTATGCCGCTTTGAGGGCTACATTGAAGCTTCACAAATCCTTTAAATTACAGGTTTGCAAAATATGTTAAAATTGTACATGATGTTACAGAACAGCACAAAGTTCTCAGACAGCCTTAGAGAGGAGGAGGGGGAACATGGCACATTAGTACTGCTGACAGACAACTGGCTGCTTGGCATCTGGAAGGATGTAGGTTTAGAAGATTTTTTTCAGACAGTCAACTATTTGCTGGGTGTGCTGTGACTCCCTTGGCAGGCCACTTTGGGAAAAGAAGGCACACATGCCCTCCCTCCAGTTTGTGCGTCCCTACCTCCAATATGCCCTAATTGCCCCCTACTGCCACCATAAGCAGCACCTTTTGTCTTTTATTTTAGAACCTCTTATTGTAGCATTTTGAGGGAGGTGAATGGAATGCTTAGCTTTTACTGAAAATATTGCACTAGGGGGTGAAGAGGCTGCACAGTGGCTAGCAAGCAAGCACACTTACTGCTGTTACAGAAAAACATTTCTAAGAAGGGCAGTAAGGTCTTTGGAACTATGAACACAGGGGGTACACAGGGGTGTACAACTGTACAGCACTGGGTATCACAGTATAGCAATGTAAAGCACTGTATAGCATGGTATCTCTCCTTACACAGATTGTTCAGTTTTCCCTAACCAGCTCTAAGACAAATTGACAAAACAGCTGTTAGGAATCCACCCTTTTATAGTGAGGGGGCAGGCTTGTCCATTGATTCAGATTATTGGCTCGGAGCAAAAATTAAGGAACACATAGCATGGTTATGCAGTGCATTATGGCTTCAGGCGCAACAATTGGCCATAAATTTGGAGTTTTGTGAAACTGCGAGATCCACCACGAACCCAAAATGGCTCCAGACCTCATCCCTAGCAGACATTGATTAACACAGGGCCCACAGTCACTGACTCATGCTGAGCATTATATAGATACCTGGTCTTCCTCCATTCATAATTGAAATAACAACTTCTGGTAGAGGGAAGCCTTTCAGCATTTGGTTGAGATTTTATGTGACTGAAAGCAAAGAACTGCAAAGGAAGCTGATGCTGGAAGATGTGAAGAAAAAAAAAAAAAACGTCCTTTATGAACACCCACCTTTCACCATGCCCACCAATCAATGATGCACTATTGCATAGTACTCATTCTTTAGACCACAGAACTCCATCCATGAAAGGACTAGTTGGTTGTGTTCGGCCCCTAGTCCAAAAGCTCCTCAACCTCCCCTAGGCCTGACTCTTTAGTTTTCATCTCAAAAGCCTTTGCACTAAAGAAAAAAAATACTAACTGCATAGCAATCATATAGAGGTTTCCAAAACTATATATACAGGTAATATATTATCTGAATGTGTTTTGCACTGCTGTAATTGCATAACTCATAGTGTACCTAAACATCTCTGCACCTCCTGTACTTCCAAGCCACATCAAAGTCTTACTGTCAGCTTTGGCTACAGTTGTACCTTTACACATACAGTAGTCCTAACTAACTACTTTACTTAGTAATAATCTAAGTGCTGCCCAACAAAGTAAAGTAAACATTTGCTGAGAGAAACAAGAAGACTGATCTTCTTTTGAATATACTGAACCATGGCTGACTATTATGCCCATCCACTGTCTCTAAAATGTTGAGTCACTGACCTAGGACAAGTATGAAGATCAGAAAGCAAAAGCAGCAACAGAACATAGATTAATAATATATTTTAGTATCTACCATACCTCCCTAAAGTGGATGTGTAGCCAGAACTTGTTTTGTTTTGAATAGAGTATGGATGGGTTAAAACCCCTGCCAGGTAATTTTTTCCTTTCTATATGTATCCTGTTTTGATAGAATACCCTTCATGTCCTGTCCTGGAGAAGCAAATGACAGGAAGTCTCCCATAAGTGAAGGAAATTCCCATCTTAGTTGTTACCAGAACATGTGTCCCCATTGGAAAAAAAGACAGTATTGGCATTGCATACACATTAAGGGCCCGTTTACATTGTGAATTGCTCCGTGATGCACCTTGTCAGCATACTATAACACACATCTGTGTTGTAGTGCAGTGCTTTGAAAAAGAAGGGTCTGATGTACACTTTAGTATGCTAAGGAACATTGCCAAACCATTCAGCAGAATGGGTTGACTTAATGCAGTGCGCCTTAACAGAACGATAACACATTCTGCTGATGTACGAGTGTTACTGCTGCACATATTCTGAATGGGCCTTAAGTATAACAAGGCCAGACATAAGTGTGTGTCCTGTTGTCTAACCTTGTTATGATCTGTATTGCAGGAAACTGTCTGCTAGACCAACCGAGAAATCAGATTCTGGGACCAGAGGAGCTTCCCGGACAGAGTTATGATGCTGTCCGTCAATGCAAACTTGCCTTTGGGCCAACATATACTGTGTGTCCTGGGATGGATGTCTGCTCACGTCTATGGTGTGCGGTTGTTCGTCAAGGTCAGATGGTTTGTTTAACCAAGAAGCTGCCTGCAGTAGAGGGAACACCTTGTGGAAAAGGACGCATATGTCTGAATGGGAAGTGTGTGGATAAAACCAAGAAGAAGTACTACTCGGTATGTTTGCTTCTCTTTTATTCTGCATTTTTTTAACTGTATATACCTGAGACATGTTTGCTACTTTTCGGACATTCTCAGATTTAATTAAAGTTAATCTAAAGCCAAAACCCATAGATTTTGCCTTAACTAAAAACCAATATCTGCAGAAGACAAAACCCACAGTTGATCCAGAGAAAGGCAAAACATCCTTATAAAGCATGGTCCAACTTGCTCCAGCGGGTTATGTTCAGATGAGAATTTTTTGGTTGGCTGCATCAATAAAAGTCAATTGAAAAGTCAACTTTTGTCAAACTGAGTGGCGCTGGCCAAGCTACACACTGGTCAAATTCTGGACAGCCGGCCATACACTTGATCAGTGTATGGCCAGGTTAAATCTCTGATCAATCAGAAGACCAAGATCTCTAATTCACCCAGATGTACTTTCCCCAGATTTTATGGCCTACAATATATAATGTTACATTTATCAGCATTAAACCCTGTAGTTGACCTTCATATAGCACATGCAGGTCAATTTGTAAATTAGAGACATCTTGTAAGAACTTTATTCCGCTACATAGCTTGGTGTAATCTGCAAACACAGAAATGCTACTTTTGATCTCATGCTCGATATGAATTATAAACAGTTGCTTGAATACAGCGTTCAAGCAAGTTTTCTATCCATTTAAAGACTGAAATCTCTGAGCCTATAGACCCTAAACTTACACATTAGCCATCTGTGGGGGAAAGGTGTCAAACGCTTTAGCAAAGTCAAAGTAGACTATATCCACAGACACCGCTTTGTCTAATTTTTTTTTTCTTACTGGCTCATAAAAAGAAAGTAGACAACCTCAATCTTTCATGAAGTGAAGGAAAATCTCTCCAATGGGACACATACAAAAAAAAAAAAAACACTAAAAGTAGTTTTAACCCTCTCTACATTATTCAATAATCAAAAATAAAATGTTTTGGTTTAGATAAACATCAACCTTTTTCCCACTTTTTATGTTTCCTCCTGGCTACACCCAATTATTCTAATATTCCCAATGGCTTTCCCATGTGAGCTTGTTAAGACCTAACTGGCCACTTAAGCTGGAATAATGGCTGGTGGGTTTTACTACTGCACAAGACAAAACAGTGGATATATCCTATCATAAGCCTTTTTACTGGTACTTGCAGAGTATCAGTGGTCTGTTAAAGCAAAAGTCCACAGTTTCTGCAGTGGTGGAGTCAGTGAGACCTAAAGCTCAGTTACTGTTTGTTAAGAATATGCAAATACTTTATGTCCATAATCTGGGCACAGGTTCAATTCAAAGACACAGGTTCACTTTTATGATGGCCTCACCAGCAGCACCCTATCGCCACCTCACTGCTGCTGCTGGAATTGAGAAACAGTACTTGGTATTCCAGGTATAGAGAACATGTAACCCACCACCTTTCCTCCACTTTACAGCTCTGGTTCTTGGTGCCTGGCCACTCAAAGCCTCAGCACTGTTACATGGGGTAGTCTTCTGTAAACCCCAAGTCACAACTTGGAACTAACATGAGTATAACCCAGTTGCCAGCCAAAAGGAAGAGAACCAAAGAGTAAATATATATATTTCAAGTGTGTTTGTTAGCCTGTTGTCTAGTGTTGTACTGTAAAGGGAGTATCTGATTGGTTTTTATAGGTAAAAAAAACCTATTTTTTATGCATTAGGCCTAGAAAAACAAAAGACTCACATTTGCCAGCTGTACTTCTGTTGGTTTGGGGGTTCTAGTTTCATTTACTTATTTTGTACTGCAGATTTCCAGTCATGGAAACTGGGGGTCTTGGGGACCATGGGGTCAGTGTTCTCGCACATGTGGAGGAGGAGTTCAGTTTGCCTATCGTCACTGTAATGACCCTGCCCCAAGAAACAGTGGAAGATACTGCACAGGGAAGCGTGCAATCAACCGATCGTGCAATGTTATCCCATGTCCATCTAATGGTAAGCAACAGTCTTCATTGTGTCTTCTGTTTATGGTTGTAGCTAAATCAAGTCACAGGTTGGATAATCTTTTTGCCTTGTTAATAAGCCCAGAATTTTTTTCATAAAATGATAATAAATTTAAAGAAGCATGTCATGCACATTGATAAAATATACCTGCTGTTCCAGAGGACTAAGAACATCCCATGTGTAGGCCATCATGGTATCACCCCTTTAAGGGCTGTCAACATGGGGCCCTACAAATTCATACATTGATACAGTAAGCAGTGCAGATGTCATCACATCAGCACCACTCTATGCATCATTAAGGACAACCCACTCCTGGAAGAAAGGCAAAGAGGAAATGGATACAGTGTGTCACATGACCATCCTGAAGACATCTGGGAAAAAGCAAAAATTACAAACTGAAGTGGGAGAAGGGAACTACTGAGGATGGGAGACATGAGCCCAGAGTTGGGTCTTAAGCAGGGCTGGATTTCCCTCACATCATCACAACTTTTGACACCTAAAGTAACACTCCATCTACTAGAATCAACTCTTTTAGTGCATTATATGTACATCAGTAATAGTAATAATGACAATAATAAAGAGGAGAAGGTAAGGCAGTGATACAAAGTCTAAATATTTACAGAATCTATATTTACCATTCTTAATGGGAGTTCCAGCCTGCCTAGATCCTTCCAATTCCAGTAGATACAATCATTCAACTTGTATCATGTTTAGAAGTCTGCTTGTGTATGAGCAGTTTTAATATATATGGGTTTCAATTGTATATTCAGCTACTTTTGTGAAGAGATAACCCCCATCTCTGCACATCAGGCTATTGACCACAGCCTTGTCCAGCATTAAATACGAGTGTCAGAACTGATAAATGAATTATATAAATTCATGTACATTATCATTATGCACATGTTAAACGACTTTTTGCTATAAGTGGGGATGTGTAGAGTGAGGTAGAAAGATTATAAATACATGATCTAATATCACAGCGGTGAGAACAGGGCCCTGCTGGGAACATCTCAACATTATTAGAGAATGCTGTACAATCCCATTAGTGTCCATGGTTGGTTTTACAAGGATACACAATTCAGCTATCAGGCAATGTCTTTCATCACACCTGGGTGATTAATATTGCTGAAAATAATCATTTGCAAATAAAAGAGAATAAACAGATTAAAATGGAGAAAAAAATAAAAACAAAGCATGAAGCAAAGTGTTTAAAGTAAACCTGTATAAAGAACAAGGCAGGTGCTTTTTAAGTGACTATATGTCTTAGAGGGCTTCCCTACTTCCTGAGACACCCTATCAGTTCATAGAGAAACGTGTCAAAACAAGCTGTGCAAAATCCAGAATTAATTATTTTAGAAGACATATACAGTATAGTAAAAACAGCCAAAGCTTTTTTGGGGTTTTAAAAAGTCCCCCTTCATCAGGGCTAGAAACAATCTAGCTTTGTATAGGTCCTTAGAATGACATTTATTCTGGACTTTGCACATCTTGTATTGGGACTTTCCTCCATGAATTGTTAAGCTGGCCATACAGTCCTTCACTTTGCTTGAAATTCGAGTTTCCCCATCAGCCCTTCTCTATTCAACAATAGTGAATTTTTCCATTATATTTTGTCATGGTAGCAGGTCCGAAAATTCACAGCCAAATAGTGACTGCAGCCAAACAGTAATGATTGGTTTCCTTATCCACACTATTTTGAGATGGAGATTGCCTTCTAAGAAAGCTGCCTATAGGGAATTGTCTGATACTAGTCTGTTCTGTACTAGTCTGAGCAGAGATTGGTGGTGGGAGGCTCCCTGAATGGTGGAGCATGGACCAATGGGATGTAGATTTGGTGTGTAAATAGAAAAGGTGCGTTTTGTTGGTGTGTTTTAGCAAGGACACACAATGCTCATCTAGAGAGATAAAGTGCTGTATACCAAATGAATGTATGTGCAAGCCTGCTGTAGTATAATTAGCTTAAATGAATAGGCTTCCAGCCAAGAGGGTCAGCATGCAGCAAGAAGAGTAAAGCAACGTGTTTACAATGTCCACATGACATTTCATTTAAAGTTTTAAATTATCTTGTGTAACTCTGGGGAAATTTACTGTCATGTGGTGTAACTTCTGTGCAATTTAGCATGCTTTTTAACTGTCTTCAGCTTAATTGCATCATTCATTGCCTTATTTAATAAGGGGCCCTTGATTCCTAAGTGCTTATTCTTAAAGATAAAGTATAATGGTTTTGGATCAATGTTATTTTTTTTTAACTAAAGCTTGCTACATATTCCATAAGTCCCCCCCTCCTGCAGACCCCACATCCACTGGCCTAAGGATGAGGGGATGAGGCTCTTGTCCCCATCAATATGGGGAGCGTACCCTGGTAAGGTACCCTTACAATGTTGAGGGCATGGGGGCATGTGGCCTGGCATGGTTCAGGAGGAGAGAACTGCACCCCTTTTTTTGTTGCCTGGGGTTCCCTTCAATTACAAACCAGAGCCTTATCAAGGATAAGAGTCTAGTATGAATTTTGAGGGGTACACCATTTTTCACAAACAAAACAAAGTCAGTCAGGAACTGTCATTTATACAGTATATAATAATATTTGTTTTAATTTTGCTTTTCCTGTAGTGTTCCATAAGTGTGCCAATTCATGTGCATGATTAAGGCAACCCCCAAGCATGTTATTTATTGGAAATATAATGGAAATTGTGTATTTTCAATGTTGCCCTTTAAGCTGCAAAAAAAGACCTGCTCCCTGCTCAACAGTATTTCATTGTTTTCCTTTTTTTTACATTGGTACATGCCCCCCCTGTTAGTGCTCAGCTACCCATGCCCTTTTAAAAGGGGTTTGCAGATTTCATCAAGTGTTAAACGAATGTTCAGCAAACCGAACTTTGTATCAATAATGGTAAACAGTTAACAGAAATTGAGACAATGGGGGTGATTTACTAACCTAAACACACGCACGCACTAGGTGCGTGTGATTTTTACACAGCAAGACGTATTTATCAACCAAAAAGTCTCTAAAAGCATATTTCCACTAATGCCATATATGGAAAAATCATACACATGATGCATATATAATGCTGCTTCACAGTTTAGACAAAAATGGTTAGCTCATGCATTTACATTCCTGCATTCATCAACGCAAGCAACACAACATAGAGCTAATTTACACAACATCACCTTGCAATTCATGCAGGGCTTTGCACAACACACCTGCTGGGTGTGTACAGACTACAAAGGTGTTTAGATTCCACCCATAGATCATACTGGGAGGGAACACACTACAGAGGTGTATACTTGTTCGTGGTGTGTTTATAAGGTTAGTAAATCAACCCCAATGGCTTCAGACACCTACGATTTGCAGTTTGTGGGTGTAAGTATAATCCTGATGTGGTCGGTAGCAGAAAATCTGAGGGAATAGTCGAAGATCGAGTACACAGATCTTGCAGCTCATAAACATCGCAGGAACAAACATCAGTATTTAAAGGCAAAGGCAAGGAAAGCTTTGATCTAGTGCAAAATTGGTAATTTAATGACATAAAATATACAAAATGCACTCACAAGTGTAAAATTAAATGTTAGCTTTATTTCATTTTTTGCATATTGTGTCTTTTATTTAAGTAAAGTAAATAAAGGATGTTATACTATATCGGTGCACTCCTATCCCTTCCCTTTTTATATCTACCTAACTAGAAAAAAATGTTTTTACTTTTAATTTTTTTTTACTCTTGACCATAATTAATAAAGACAATTATGTACCAAACCACTATACATTTCCTTTAAGTGCAAAGCCAATACGAATTCACTTTACTGAAGTGAGGCTAATAGAAGATGAATTATAATTGGTTGGTAAGGGTTCCTCACTTACAGTTAACCCGTACTTTGCCCATGCCCTGGGGTGACTTTGCCCCAACTGGAGGGATTTGCAGCTCACACAGATATTGTTTTGGTTCACAGAGGCTGAACAAAGCAGCAGGGGAGCCAACCAAAGGTAAACAGTAATCTATCCACAGCAATGAAAACATCCTCCTTGTTCTACTAAAAAAAATGTTTTATTGCTGTTGGTGCCATTGGGGAGATTTCCCCTTGTTTCCTGATTTGTTCAATGCCCAATGCATAGGAAGCAAGGGAAAACCATCCCAAAGGGGACACAGCAGCCACTCTAAAACAAGGAAAAACTAGAAAAGAAAATTCTAAAACTGGTCTTCAAAACTTGTCAGTGGGAAAACTAAGATTACAAGCACATCCCATAGTATGGATTTATTTCTCGTGAGCAAAATTTTGAGATGCAGATGTGCAGTTTAAAGCTGAATTCCAGGCAAACAGCAAAATATATATAATGGAGCTGTTTTATCCACCAGAAGATTTGTATTTCTGATGATCCTGTCTTTATGTTTACACAGCTTTGCAATACAGCACAGCCCCGTCTGGCATGGGTGGGGACTTGATCTTTGTTAGGTGCAGTTTACCTTTCACTTACAGGTCTTCATCCCCATCCTGTGACTAGACAGAGAAAGCAGCACATTGATTAGCTCATCTGTCTGTCAGTCTGTTCTCTCCTCTTATCAGCATGCTCCTTGCACAGCAGCACAACTGAATGGTTCTTCGGGCTGCTTCTCCCTCCCTCTCTAAAAGCTCTGCTGTACGTTCAATACAATATACTACAAGAGGCTGATTCCATATAAAATAATAATAATTTATGATGTATTCATGATTATTGAGCTGCATTAGATTGTGCTGGTTATTATTATTAACTCGAGTTCAGCATTAGCCATCAATAAGTTCTCAAAGTGTGCATATTATGAAAAGGTACACACCTCAAATGTTTTTCCTGCTCTCTTATATGTTAGAAATATAGCATGCAACAGAGTGTAAAATCCTGTGAAACTTACATTTTCACTTTTCCTTGTGAAGCTAAATCATTTCGGCAGCAGCAGTGTGAAGCCAGGAACGGTTATCAGACTGATGCGAAAGGTGTGAAAACATATGTTGAGTGGGTTCCTAAGTACGCAGGAATACAGCCGGGAGATGTTTGCAAGCTCATATGTCAAGCCAAAGGAACTGGATATTATGTTGTCTTTTCTCAAAAGGTAAAGGGTTATCTATATATATATATATATTTTTTTTTTTTTATTAATAATCTGAAGATTTATGAAAAGTTGTTCAGTAAAAAGAGTTGTTGATATATTATTCCTACATTTTCAAAGAAAGAAATACGTCTATTATGCCCTCCTTACCATCTTGTCTTGATTTGTATTGTGATTGTAATGTCTTCCTTATATTGTAAAGCGCTGTGCAAACTGTTGACGCTATATAAATTCTGTATAATAATAATAATTATGTTTTTGTAGCTGCTGCCAGCACCACCAGTTATATCTAAGACGCAGCGATGATGGCGCAAAGTGCAGCAACCTCAGTAAACCTTTGAAACCCATGTTCAGCTTCCCACAGACAGTTTAAAAATGAGAAGTGCACTTTAAAGCAAATAAAAAATCATACACATTGTAATGCACATGTGCTAGGCACAAAGGAAACCAGTTTAATACATCTGGAATTCCATTCAAGTAGCAGCAACTCTGGATGAAAATTTTAACGGATTTAAAATGTAATTATTGACAAGATCGAAGGTTCTGAGGAACGATTTCAAAACGAATGTTCAAAAGTAATTCTAACGGCAGTCACTGGCACACCCCAATTTCTTATCCACATTAACATTGTGGCAGTAGAGGGGGGATTGTGCCAAAGTTCCCAGTTGGAGCAAAGGCGAGGCCTACTGCTGGTTTGGGCTATACTGGGCAATGCAAATAAAAATGACAAAAGGTACAGACAAATGATTTTTTATTCCCTGCTAATACGTTACTTCTTCGAGGTGGTTAGGCTGACAGATTAGCCTAAAAGAATCAAATTTTTCACAACACCCAATATGCAAAAATGTGTCTCATTCTATAGGTCATAGAGGTGTGATGAACTGCATTGAGGGGGTTGGTGCTTGGAAGGCACGAATCCCTAAATGCAGTGCTCCAGGGATGCAATGCAAATGCAATTGAACTTCTTAGCGGCTTTGTAAATTAAGTGCACCAGATGTCAGGGCTCCCGAAGCAATCAAAAAAGATAAACAGCGGTATACAGAATTATGTACCTCTGGGCATTGGGGAAGCTAGAGATTCTGTCACCCGGGACAAAGGCTCCGAGTTGCTTCCCCCTATTTCTCAATCCACACACCGAGCTTCAGCCCTGCGTCTAGGTACCCTCTTAAATGACAGCATAACCAGTATAAGGATTAGACAGATTTGCTTTATGCTCTACTGTTGGCCAACATACTTCTAGATTCTTTTCACATCACTTTCACAATTATTGTTATTATTATTATTATAATAATATTTTACACAGTGCTTTACAAAGTGAAGGGAGACATTATAACTCAAATCAACATAAGATGATTAGGAGGACCTTGCTGGTAAAAGCTTACAATCTAAAGCCATCACTGGATCAACTATATATGCCTCTTGCCCTTCTCCTTGATGTTTACCACTCAATTGCAGATGAATATTGTCGGTAGCGAACATGCCTCCTTCTACAATGATAACTTTCTGTTTTGTCCTACAGGTGACCGATGGCACTGAATGTAGGCCCTACAGCCATTCTGTCTGTGTTAAAGGAAAATGTGTGCGCACGGGATGCGATGGAATAATAGGGTCCAAGCTGCAGTTTGACAAATGCGGAGTATGTGGAGGAGACAATTCCAGCTGTACTAAAGTAATGGGCACCTTCACAACCAAGAGGTATGGAACTTCAGTGGAATACTGTAAAAGCAAAATAATTGTGGTGTCTCGTTTATGGTTCACCGTAGTGTGAGATATGGTATTAAGCAGCAGGAATGTTTCATCAGTGCTTATAGTTGTTATTATTTCCAGCGGTAAATCCATTAGCCTATCTACGAAATTACAGATCCAGGTGTTATCATCTTGGTATGGTTCCATTCCATTTTATTTTAGGACCCATTTATACAATGCACTGTGTTCATATTACACATGGCAGCGGACCTTAGCACATTAGAAATTGGACAAGTTTATTTTTTCTTTTTTTCACCACAACACATAGTGAGTGCCTTGTAGTGCCCTGCATTTGGTAGTTTCCAACTACTGTAAGACTGTGTTAGGATGGCTTTAGGAACTAATAGCACCGTATCACAGTGTGCACAATACATTGTAGTAAACACACGTTTTAACATGCATTTCCAGATGTGTTGGACCGCACTGGGCAGCCTTGTGTAATGCATTGACAATTAGACAATAGCAGTTTTCCTTTTGTCCTATGATGTCAGGGGTGCATGCTGAAAAAAAGTACAGCGCATTGCAATGTGCATCGGTGAATAGAAATGAATGACACATTTCAATAAAGTTCAAAGAAGAAAAGTTAAACAGTGCGATGCGCTGTAATTAGCCTTCTGCACAGCGTACACTGGCAGCCATGCAGTAGAATGCGCAGCTGGTGTGAAGGGGCCCAAAGAGTTTCTTCTCCCCCAAAGTGCAGATGTCTCTCTGCAAATTAAGATTTCATGGCACACTTGGGTACACTTCTAATCACGGTGTATGTGAAATCAAAGCCTTTTTTTTTGTTTTAAGGTGCCCACACACCTTGCAATAATCATACGATAATCGCAGGAAATCCTGCGATCGTACGATTATCGCAAGGTGTGTGGAAGTCATGCGACCTCTGCTACTGTAAGGTCGCACAACTTTTATCTTAGGAACATGTTCGAAAACCTGCCGATAATCGTACGATTGTCGGCGGGTGTGTGACATGTTCGTAACATAAATGCCGCACGGGCCGGTGTGCGCAAGCGCACACTGTCCGTTCAGCATTGCGGTCATCGGAGGTCCGCCCCTAAGTGGGGCGGGCTTGCGATCGTCGCAAGTACGATCTGCCTGTCCAAGATAGGCAGATCGTACGTTTTTTTAATTACCTTACAACCATCGCAAGAAGTCTTGCGATGGTTGTAAGGGGTGTGCCCAGCATTAGATAGAGAAGGGGAAAGATTAGAACCCCTGTCTGATTTTTACCGCTATCTGCTGCTTCCCTCACTTTCTGCAGCAGGGACACAGAAATAAAAATCTGCCAGGAGTTATAGCTGATTCCCCCATTCTACTAAAGTGTGTCTGTGATGTGGTTAGAGAATTCCCCTCATTTACTGTCTGTTAAAATGTTGTCACAGGACAGGAAGTGAGGTTATATCTCTTTAATGGAGCCCCTGAGAACAGTAAAAACCCAGTTCCAACCCATCTCCCCTCTATTCAAACCTAAGAAAAATGTTTTGGCTTGACGTACACTTCAGTGCTTTGTGATCACATTCACTTGGGCTTGGCGAACAAATTGCCTGGTAGCTAAGTGGCGTTAGAAAATAGGCGGTGATTTCAGCAAATAATGTGGAATTGTTCAAGAAACTTTTGGACGATTTCTTAAGGGACCGTAATATACAGGGGTACGGGTACTCCTAGAATGAGATCCTAATAGGTTGGACTTGATGGACTAATGTCTTTATTCAACCTCAAATACTATGTAACTATGTAACTTGGCCAGGCTTTCTCAACCTTTTTTACCCCAGAGGAACCACTTAAATAATTCTTAGGTCTCAGTGAGTCAGTGGCAAAAATGCCTGTTGTATTAATATGCAGGATTAAGGCATCCCCCAAACATGTTATTTATTGGAAAAAAAAAAAATGTATTTAATGGAAATTGTGTATTTTCAATGTTGCCCTTTAAGCTGCAAAAAAAGACCTGCTCCCTGCTCAACAGTATTTCATTTTTTTCTTTTTTTTACATTGGTACATGTCCCCCATGATTTTGCTCAGCTACCCATACCCTTTTAAAAGCGTGCAGATTGGCCTTAAAAAAGGGCAGGAAAATGTTACATTAAAATAAAGATTCAATTCCCATAGACTTCAATAGGGTTCCGGTACTATGCTCAGGGTTCGCAGATTTCATCAAGTGTTAAACGAATGTTCAGCGAACCGAACTTTGTTTGGTTTGCTCATCAATAGTGGTAAACAGTTAACAGAAATTGAGACATAGGGGGTGATTTACTAACCTAAACACACGCACGCACCAGGTGCGTGTGATTTTCACACAGCAAAACGTATTTATCAACCAAAAAGTCTCTAAAAGCATATTTCCACTAATGCCATATATGGAAAAATCATACACATGATGCATATATAATGCTGCTTCACAGTTTAGACAAAAATGGTTAGCTCATGCATTTACATTCCTGCATTCATCAACGCAAGCAACACAACATAGAGCTAATTTACACAACATCACCTTGCAATTCATGCAGGGCTTTGCACAACACACCTGCTGGGTGTGTGCACACTACAAAGGTGTTTAGATTCCACCCATAGATCATGCTGGGAGGGAACTCACTACAGAGGTGTATACATGTTCATGGTGTGTTTATAAGGTTAGTAAATCAACCCCAATGTCTTCAGACACCTACGATTTGCAGTTTGTGGGTGTAAGTATAATCCAGATGTGGTCCGTAGCAGGAATCTAAGGGGAATCGTCGAAGATCGAGTACACAGATCTGACACAGCCTATTAAAGAGTCATTTTGATATAACAGATAACTTATCCTTTGCAAGAGACAATTTAGCTTAAAACCATAGAAAATTGCATCTTAGAGAATAATGAGGAGGGGACATGACCTATACATGTACAGAAATTAATTATGCAATATAGAAGCTTCAAAAACATTAGAGGGCCAAGAAGGTGATATATGTAGGTGGAAAAGCTTTCAGTAAAGTAGATGTCTTTCGTTTTTGTCATTTGGTATAGTGCAGATAGACACTGAAGAGAGTTCTTTCCATCACATTGCTCCTTATCTGTAAAAGCTTGATTCTAATCAAATACATTTCGCCTGTCGAGCTCACTTTAAGTCGTCAGTGCAGTGAGGCTAAACAGAAGATATTAAAATGAACTGAGTAAGATACTTTTTAATGCAGCCTATAGAGGAGCCTCCTTATGCTGCCAACATCTCCCTTCACTCAGCTATGAAAGACGCTGAATCTGCTGTTGCCGCTGTGCGTTTTCTCCAGGCTCTAATGGAAGACTGAGTGCTTCTAATGTGAAAATAAAATCTGAAAGAGGATGAGAAGTGAATTCCTTAGTCTGCAAATCGGCCTTTACTGCATGCACTACTAACACTGTTCGCTTGTTTAAATAACTAAGGCCCTCAATCCATTTCAATTTAAAAATCTATTTATAAAGAACTTTACTGAGAATAGAACTTGCCACAACTGAAAAGAGTAAAGTCTTCTATCACATAAAGTGCAAGCTCACCTTTACAGTTTAAGTTTTGCTGCCTGTAATTATTTTTAAAGTGTATCTATACCCATGAACAAAATGCAGTATATTGCAGGTTACCAACCCTTAATGGTGGCTGCATTAGTGAGTTGTGTTTTTCAGGCCTGATGATCCTGACAGTACACACTTCCTTTACTGTATCTATGGAGGAACGGCATTTATACCCTAGGGTGTGCTTGTTCCTGATTTCTACTACAGAACACCTCTTCCTCTCATCATCTCCATAACATAGTGTTCTGTAGTTCACAAAGGTGAGCTAGGAAGGGCTGATGACAGCACTTGAGATTTCAGCACAGCAATATGTTAGGCTAAGGCGTGGATGCATGTGCATTCTAAGGACCTTAGACATCCTCTTACACCAACAATGGTCAATGTGCATAACTGCATGTGCATTCTTCTTGAGTGCCATGGCATACCAACTATTATTATTTCTTAGTCTACATTCACATCTATATTTTAGGTATGATTAGGGATTCCTTCAGCAGGAACTTGTGATTTCCTGCAGCAGGAATCCCTAGTCTGCTGTTTGCAATCAGCAGCCGTCATCCATTCTAGTTAATGATCGGGTGATATGAGCTGCAATTACTCGCAGGTTCCTGACGCAGGAATCCCTAATTTCACACAAATTATAGGTGTGAATAAAGGCTTAGTTGTGGATAGAGTGGGGAAAAATTAAAACTTGTCAGGTATCTATTTCTGTCTGTGACCCCACTTCTGCACATCTTGTTTTTGTGACACCCATACAAGGAATGAGGGTGTGCTTGTCACTGGTACAGGAAGGCACAGAAAACAAAAAAATAAAACATTGCCGGAAGTTCTAAACCTGTCCTCACTTTCAGGGGCGTAACTAGAAATCACAGGGTCCCATAGCAAAATTTTGTATGGGGCCCTGTGATTTCTAGTTATGCCCTTGCAGAGCCAACCTTATATCCCAAACAGCCCACCTGAGAGTGACCCTGCAGTGCCCGCCAAAGAGTCTCTGCAAGATCTTAGGTGTGCTGGTCACACTCCTGCAAACCTCTTACCTGTCAGCCCCGATCCACTGTCTGCCTCCTCCTCCTACACGGTTGCTGGCAGTCCCCGCCTCCTCAGTTGTTGGGCCCCACCTACTGTCCCATCGTCGGGCCCCGCCTAGTCCTCCACAGCTGCTGGCTGTCACTGACTCAGCAGCGGCTGTGAAGAGGAACGCGCCGCTGCACAGATCGCTGACAGGTTGTCGGTGATGTAACAGCGACACGTTCCTCCTCACTCCCGCCAATGACAGCCAGCAGCCTGAGATGCCATAGAAACCTAGACAGCCCGCACGGCATCTGGAGCATGTCCTGGCTGGGCCCACCTGTGCCCCAGGCCCCATAGCGGCCGCCTGAGTCGCTATGGCGATTGTTACGCCACTGCTCACTTTACTAAAATGTATTGTTGTC